GGGGAGCTGCTGCGCGGCCGGCCCGGGCCGGTAATGCGGCCTCCAGGATGCTGTGGTTCCCGGTGAAGAAGATCCGCAAGCAGTTCAAGCTGCTGCTGCTGCTGGTGCTGCTTACCCTGGCCGTGTGGGTCACCTACCTGCACATCAGCCTGGTGCGCCAGGGCAAGGCGCTGCGCCTGCACTTCGCCTACGGCAGAGGTAAGGCGGGGCCGCCCGAGGGGACCCTTGCACAGCCAAGTTCCTGCTTCAGATCCTGGGGTGGGGGTTGGCGGTATCTCCTGCACCCCTCCCCCCTCTCCGCCCCCCAGGGCTTTTCCTAGGGTGGAGTTGATCCAGCGATTAGAACAGGGGGTTTAAAGCCTGGGCCCCTAAGTTCTGTTCCCAGATGTGCCACCCACTTCCTTTGAGACTGCAGACAAGGGACTCAGCCTTGGTTTCCCCAGCGGTAGAGCGGGGGTAGGAATAGCCACCTGCCTTCTAGGGGTGCTGAGGATCAATTCGTGTCTCCAAAGGGGGAGCAGAAGAACAGCCATACTGAGTCAGACCAGTGATAGAGATGTAGCCGTGTTAGTCTGCCCAGTGTCCTGCCTAAGGCCAGGTGCTTCAAAGGGAGGAAACAGAACAGGGCAATTGTCAAGTGACACTTAGTCACTATTGTTTTAGTATCTATCCCTCCTTTCTCATCCAGTCCCAGCCTCTGGCAGTCAGAGATTTAGGGACATGCACACTTGGGGGCTGCATCCCTGACCTATCGTGGCTAATAGCCATTGATGGGCCTATTCTCCATGAACTTACAAGTTCTTTACTGAACCTCATTGTGGCTTTGGCTTTCATACCATACCCCAACAGTTAGTTCTGCAGGTCTGCATTGCGTGAAGCGGTACTTCCTTGTGTGTTTTAAACCTGATACCTATTCATTTCCTTGGGTGACCTCTGGTTTTTTTGTGATGGGGTAAATGATACTTCTTTATTCACTTTTTTCATGCAGTTTGTGATTTTATAGACCATTATCATGTTTCCCTTAATCGTCTCTTTTCTAAACCAAGCAGTCCCAGCGTTTTTAATCTCTCCTCACATGGAAGCTACTCCAAACCCTTAATCATTTTTGTTGCCCTTCTCTTTACTTTGTTCAAGTCTAAGAGAGCTTTTTTGAGAGTGGGCAACCAGAACTGCACCCCTTATTCAAGGTATGGGTGTGGCATTATGATTTTTTTTTAGTATCAAACCTGATTGAGTTCTGATATGAACCTTTATTACACCCAAGGAGTGGTAGAAAAGAGGACAGCCCTTAGTTCTTGCCCTCTGAAGCTTACAAATGTGCCCCGGTAACTGGACTAACTCTCTTTGGCCAGAGCAGAGAATAATTGGGTGCTGTCAGTTTGCACATCTGCATTTAGAGATGCACATACAGAGCTCTTCCCTTAGGTGAGCTGGGTTGTAAAGCTCAGGTCAGACACGGGACTGTATTGCCAATAAGCTGTCCAAACCCTCGATATCTTTAATCTTGGTGGCAAAGTGTTTTTAGCAGCAGTTCAATTCCTCTTTAGAGCAGACTTAGATGATGGCTTCTGAGTCCAGGGCACAGAGTGTCCGTGTGTGGATCAGAGAGAAAATTCGAAGATGCTAAGAGATCGCTTACACACCAAACAGACCAGGTTGGGGGCTGAGCTGTTTACAGTCCTTTTGGCAGTGTTTGGGGATGGTTTGGCTCCTGTGAAGGAGGAGGAGGATGGTGTTTGGTAGATGCATGGGTGTTTATCTTGTTTGGCTCTCCCTGTTGGACAATCCCTAAAGCTCTGTCATGCAGTGCACCAGGCAGGAAGGGGCAAAGTCAGGAAAAAATGGATGGAAAGGTAACCCAGATTTAATAGGTAGATACCTGGGATTGCTTATCATATCTTAGATTAAAAAAATATTTGAAGCGTACACTTTCCAAGCTTCAGAACAGTGGGGCTTTCCAACTGTTCCACACCGCAGACACCTCCATACTAGGACTCCCTTCCCTCTAGCTGGGAGGGACCCTCTCCTCTCAGGAGCAGGGGAGTGGGGTTATGCTCCCCAGAACTTATTTGTGACTCCCAAAGCTGAGCAGCCATGCTGCAGAAGGATATGCTGTTGTTGTTCCCAGGGCTGTTTTCCTTCACTGCATTGTGATGGTTTTAGTACTAGAAAGTCATTATAATGAATTCTGGGAATCTTCAGGGGTGTGTGTGTGTATGTGTGTATAACATCAGTGGGGATTTTCATTTTTCTGTCTCAGCTGAAACTCTCATTTGGCTCTCATGCCCTCATGATGAGAGACAGAGAGGGCCATTTAAAAACAATTATTCTCATCTTTAAAAAGAGAACTGCAAAGCAGTAAACCAGTTCTGGCTTGTGCCCTTTCTGCTGCATATTTATGGCTTCAAACATTTTCCAAATAGCAAAATCAGGTTTAATTTTCCTCTCACTGAAACTCATTGTGCACTGATGTAACTTCATTGGTGTCAGGGGAGCTACTCAAGATTTGTGCCAGTGTGAGCGAGAAGCAAGTAAGAGCCACTGAGGAGTTTATTTATATGTGGTTTCTGGTAAAGGGTTCTGGAACAGTTTTTATGGTGGGGGTGCTGGGAGCCATTGACCCAAACTGTAAACCCTGTATATAATGGATACCACTTTAAGCCAGGGGGTGTGGCTGCACCTGCAGCACCCCAAGTTCCTGCACTTATTGTTTCTGGAGATCTAGAATGGGATAGTGTGGGCTCCCGCAATCCAATAGACTACCTATGTAATGATACTCACTGGAATGGTCCCGTTGACTTCACTGGGACTATTTACATGTTTGTAGGGTGGGAGACACAGGCTGAAGTCTGAGTTACAGCTTTCTCAGTTGAAATGAGAGGATGACTCACTCTTTCACAAAGAGCTTTTCTCCAAACTGTTTGTTACATGTTTGCGCTAAAGGGCATTTAACCACAAAAACCATCAATAGCTTTAAAGAGTGGGTCTAAACATTTCCTTCCTTCTCATGGGAGGGAACGCGATGGTTCAGTCCATTGTGACACTATGCTATCCAGGCTCCAAAAACAGGGAAGTCAAGATACAGCTAATGTGGCAAAGCAGGAAATGAAGCTCCTTTGCTTGTGCACTGAAGGGCACATACACTTGTTCATTTCCTTCTAAGCAAGTTGCTGTCTTAGCTGCTGGATGCCACTAGAAAACCAACTTATCATAGAAGCCTAACCATAGGAGTCTAACCTTAAACTATTGACCGAGTTCAAAGAAGGTTTGACTGGTTGTCTGGTCAGCCCTTGCTGCCTCATACTTTGCAGCGTGCGGGATGTCAGACTGTGGCAGCTTGCCCTGCTTCCAGGGGAAGCACGCTGACTAGCTGCAGGGTTGGGGTTTGGTGGTCAGCCATGAGAATATTAACAGTGAGGTAGCAACATTGGAAGCCTAAATATAACCAAATGCCAACCCATCCGTGTGACCACAGGAAGTTCAGACATAGTGCTATAGCGTCAGTCTGCCCGCAGCCTCAGAACGTCCTGTCTGTGCTGCTGAAAGGGGTGTGTTCTGGAAACAGTTTGTCAGACTGATCAGGCTCCTCCTGATACCTGTTGAGGGGGATGTGGATCTCCTACGTGTATTTTCTGGGGCTGTGTGCTCTCACCCCAAAGGTTTCCATTGCATGCCATACAGCCTTTCATATGCTGTCTGCAAGACCAGCTCCCAGATCTACAGACTGGGTATATATTCCAACTATAGCCATGAGGAAATGCATTCCACACTCTGGCTCCCAGCAGAAAACCCTGCAGTCACAATGCAGCTGAGCCAACTCTGAGAAATAGGAGCTGTGGAACAGCTCATCCATGATGGGACCAGGACCAACCAGAGGACCTGAGTTTCTTGGAACTGCACGAAGCAAAGACCAGGAGCAGAGATTTCTAATTTCCATGCTAAGGGCCTGGTTCACACTTACCCAGCAATTTGTGTGGTCACCCATACTAGTGTAAAGTCAGCAGGGTTGGTGACAGACTTCTTCAGGCCTTGGGCTGTGTGTGTGTGTAGGGGGAGACCTGCCCCAGAGCCCCCAGAAGGGGCAGGGCTTCAGGGAGAAGGGGCGGGGCTAGGGGCAGCTAACCCTCAGTGCCACCTGGATCATGCCACCGTACGGGGATCTGGTGGCAATTTAAAGAACCTTGAGGCTCCAGGGTCTGCTGCTGCCTCCAGCCCTTTTAAATCACCGAGCCCTGAGGCAGCTGTCCCTTGGTTGTCCCGCCTCCTCCTGGTCAGCGGCCCTGAAAGTGAGTGTAAAATGCCACCAGATCAGAACAAGAATATTACTTAACATTGATATATTATAGTAGCACTGAGAGGTTTTGGTTAAGTTGGGAACCCTCTATGTTAGCCACCAAAAGTTTTAGCAGGCATCATGGGAAAGAGGAGGAGGTTGAAGGAAGTCACAAGGTGGCTTGACAGAATACTCGCTGCTTATGTGGGAGTCACAGCCCTGCCCCAAATATTAAGTGTTGATGCTATGCACTGTGCAGCGAGCAGCTGTCAAGACCATCTGTGCTCTTTGTAGCTTGGGATGTCAATAGTAGACTGGGGGAGGGCCACAGGTGAGCCCAGAAGGAATCCTTTTAGGATTCTTTAAATATTCTTGGCGCCGGTGTGTTTAATTGGCGGAGGCCTTGTGGAGGAATTAAGTGCTACGGGTTTGAAGAAGCAAATGGCTAGGAAGCAGGGGGGGAAGGAAATGGTGTGTGGGGGGGAGGGGGTAAGGCTGGTGGAGTTGACTGAGCAAAGGAAAGGGCATAGGGCAATGTTTCCTCTAATTTTGCTATCCGTGTGCAGAAAAACTTTTCTGTGCACTGAGGCATGTGTAAACGTGCACCACTATGAGAAACAAAAACACCTACCTGTGGGCGTTCTGCTAATCAGCTGGATGTCATTTGAATCTCTCCTGTACAGCCGCACGAGCATGCAGAGAACACTGAGCGGGCAAAAGATTATGCAGGAAGAGAGGGATTTGAATGCCCGTGAGGCAGTGCTGTGTACGGTGGGAGAGGAAGGCGTTTCTGTTGGATACAGCGGACAAGGACATTGGAGTGGCTCGGAAGGCTGGATGTCCTAGTCTTTTCTGTTTCTCTTTCGTGTTATCGCTTTGGTCTTGTGGATGGCTCCATGCTGTTGCATTGTAGTGTGACTAGAGA